TCAGGTTTGACTCAGTTTCCACTGTTGTCACACTATCAGAACCTTATTCTTGCATGCAGTCTGACTTCTGTCAGCACCTGCAATTCTTCACCTGAAGACTCTCTCTGCTGACCCTATTCTCCTTGAATAATAAGCAGGCCAGAAGAGCTGGGGAGTCAAGCCACCCATCTCCCCCCTTGTGCCCACTTGTGGGGCACAGCCCTCAACCAGTAATTGATAAGAGTTAATGGATAACTCTGAGTGGCCCTGTCTACCTTGCTGCCCCAAGTACTGTGGTGAGAGTATGCTCCTTTGCCCTCAGGGGTAATGAGCTTTTTAACAAACCCTTTCTCAGTGCCCTTCCTTTCTTCCCAGCTGGTGCTTCCTGGGGTCTTGTCTCAAATAAACTACTTGTCTTCCAATCCTTGTCTCAGGTCTGCCTCTGAGAAAACTGCCACACACAGAGCAAAGACTCTTTTTAGATTTAACAGAACCACTAGCCACTTCTTCACCTTTGTAGCTTCAGTAGAGCAGGCTTTTGGGTAAAGCGGGAGGTGGTTAGCTCCACCCACACCGGCCCTGCAGGAGCTACAACCTCAGTCACCCTTCTTGTGTTCTTGGAGAAGTCCTCCTCTATTCCTGAAGGACCCCTGGACTTGGAGCAGTGCTGTAAACACAGGCACATGGTCATCACTGGATGGAGCCACACAGGAAAGAGATGAACAACCATTTTGCTTGCTGGCCCCTCATCTGTGAGACACATCCCACACCAGTGTCCTTACTGACCTCAGACTTCTCTAGAGAACACTTGTGTCTGGCTTTTCTTTCTTTTTCTGAAGCTTGCATATAGCAGGTCCAATGCACAGCAGTCAGACTGCATTAATGCCAAAGCAGTCAGATTGCATTAATGCCAAAGACTCACATTTGTGTATTGATTTATGGTTTCCAAAATATTTTAATTCTCAGTTTAAATAGAAAGAACACCAGACTACCAGTGTACTCTGACTCTTCTCTATTAATGTATGGAAAAGCAAGCTTTGAAAATAATTCTGGTTTGGGAAACATTTTGCCTGGTTTGATTATGAAGAAATTTTTGTTATCTTTGTTTAAGAGATTCTTCTAGAGCTTTTACTTCTCACTGAAAATAACCCATAGCAAGAAGGAATTTTCCCAACATAACTCATTTCTGTTTATTTTAACTTTCAATAAATTTCCAAGTCATCCTCTTTGTGGCAGATATTGCTAGCACCCAGCCCATATACTTTTGGCCTGACTCCTGGTGAACTCTGGCTGCCTGTACCTGCATCTCTTTGACGATGGTTATGGGAAGGTAGGATGTGCTGTGATATTAATGTCCCCTGGGGTGAGCCCTCAACCAATGAATGACAGAAGTTGCTGTATAAATACTCCAGCTTCCTAGGGTATCACATCACGGGTGGGATAATTCTGGCACATATTCTGCACTGTCCCTCAGATTCCCTAGTGGGATGAAGTTTCCAGCTGCTCCCTTGCTTGCATTTATTAGCTGCCATCCCTTCCATATTTCATTCCCCCCCTCTATTCTTGCTTCCTGGGGTCACTTCCCAAATAAACTACTTGCCCTCAAACCCTTGCCCTAGGGTCTGTTTCTGAAGGAACCCAAACACAGACCTCCTCACAGTGCATTTCACTAGAAGGATATCAGGCTAGCTCATCACATCCAAGCCATTAAGTCACCTAACCAGGTGTGAAGCTGTGTATTAATCCTTTGCTAAAACAATTTTTGAGCTTATCACTGTCCACTGATTTCATTGCTCTCCTGGGCAGGTCTACTCCACTTGTCATCCTCATTCTGCTAATTATTGTATAAAATTTTTAATTAGAAATAAAAAAAGATAAATTTGGTTAGTAGATTTAAACTTGTCATTCTCAACCCTGTACAGGGTGAGAGACACTGAGGCTGGTAAAAACCAGTTCAGGTTGAGATTCTCTGCTGAGGAATTAAGAATGAGATATTTGGATGTTCAGTTTTCTCACCTATACCAAAGATATAGAAAATCTGTGATTAAATTACAAAATTTGTAATCTGCTATGTAATTAGATATATTTTTTCATAAGGTTCCAAGCATTTGATACACATTAAAGACTAGGACCTTCCTCTGGATAGAAAGTGTAAAAACATACAGTTTTGTACAGAACTTACATTTTCTGTTTGATTCTTACATGTCATCTACTTTAAGATTAGTGTACACATTTGTCACCTCCTCAACCATACCTCTGCTAACTGGTCATTGACACTCCTTTTAAATGTTTTCAGATATGGAGAACTCATTACTTTCTGGGAGAGCTAATTCCTTTTACTTATTAACCTTCAGCATTAGATGTTCTACCTTGAATGGAACTAAAATCTTTCTCTTGCAATTGTCATCCACTGGTGAGAATTTTCTTGGGAGAAATTACTGAATTAGTTGAATGCCTCATCCCACATAAAGAATTGGAAATATTTAAAAACATAGTTAATGTGCCCCTGAAGTTGTCTTTTTTCTCCCTTGTCTTTTAGCTTTCCTTCATAGGTTGTGGTTCAGAGTCCCTCTACCACCCTTGTCTATCTGTCACTGTTCCTCTTAGAACAATACACCCACTGGAAGCGGACTAGTTGTCCAACAATTGGAGATTGGAGAGTTTAAATAAGTTGCAGCATGAAGAAATAATGGATAGCCCTATAATCATGTTTTGAAGAATATTTAATGATATAAAATTGCTCATAATCTAAGTGGAAGGGGCATTCTGTATATGTCAAAAAAGCCAATTTCATTAAAAATATGCATGTAGAAATAAAAGTCTGAAATATGTTAAAATATTAAGAATGTTGATATGGTTTGTTCTGACTCTGTTTTATGCTTTTCCAAATTTTCTACAGAGAATATATATGTATTTTTAATTAGGAAAATGTTTTTTTGAAAGAAACATAGAAAAAAAATACAACACTCATAGAACCCATAGAGTTTTTCAGGCATATTCTGATATTACAGAGTTAAGGGGAGTTGGCATTTTGCAACCTCAATGCTTTACTTTCCCATTTCAGCTTAGGGTTTTTGGCAGCTGAATCATAATGTTAGTTAGCATTGTGCCTTCAGTTCATCAGAGCTCCAGAGAATTTTTTTCCCTCTTGAATTGTTATCTCTTTTAATCTGGTAATTGGCATTGGGAGAAGTCTGTTACAAAAACACCGGGGCTGGGCAGAGAGAAGGGAAGGACGCCCAGGTCAGTCTCCAGGTATGTGGCTTTTGTGAGGACTGGACCTGCAGGAGCAGGGTCAGCTTTCCAGCCCAACTGGCAGCCACCCCACCTTGAAGTCCTACAAGCTGCAAGATGAAGCAACACTGGTTTGTGAAAGCGAGCAGAACCCTATCTGGCTGCTCTGTGAGGTGCTGGTCCCTGGAAATGGTAGAAACCCTGTGTAGCTACAGCTCTGCTCAGAGAATACAAATGGCTCTGTGTGCTACCCCCTGCAAACTATTATCTCTGCCATTCTGTGTAAGAAAAAGCCTCTGGGTATCAGAGCAGTGGAGAAAATGCACCACATGCGTTTCTCAATCTCCTCTTTGGAGAACTCTCTAGGGCCCTGTAATTACTGGGGAGGAAAAGAAAGGGAGGGCATTAGAAGAGGTGTACAAAGCTCTATGTAGGGCAGTCCCTTTAAAGAAGCAAAAGGGACAGTCAGGCAGACAGCTCCATGTGTGCCTGTGATGGGGGAAGAAAGGACACAGGAAGGAGAGGAGAACCATTTTCTTAGACTGTGCAGATGGACCACTGAGGCAGAATCTACAATCATAGGTGGTTCTTTACTGTCTTATTTACAGGAGTGAATTATCATCTCTTGGAATACAGTTTGTGTTAGTTTTTGTCATGTCTCTTTGGGTGCACATTGGCTGGACTGTGCAAATGATTCATTTAATTTTCTTTTTAATTATTAAAAAGATGTCCAGCTCAATGTATACTCTGTAGATTTATAAGACCCATGCAGTAAATAGAAACCCAGCCCATGGATGCTCTGATTCCTGATGCCCAAAGCACTAAACACATGGAAAATGTCTGTTTGCTTTTTGCACTGTAGATGCACACACCTTCCCAGATGAATGACCTGGAATGATGACCTTAAAACACTTCTGCTTCTTAACCATCTTTTCTATGTTGAGTATGTGTTCTCTTAAATATGATCCTTTTAACTACTAAAATAACATTTTTATATTTAGATCTGTAGCTTACAAAAGTATAGCCAAGTAATAGTCTAGAAAATTTTAAGCAAACACATCAGTGTTTGAATAGTGGACTCCATGGGGTTAAAATAAAGCAATTTTTTTCCTTTAAAGGGGTTGTAGGTTTCATCAGCAAAGCAGAGTAACTTGCTGGGTCAAAGTCAGAGCATGTGGCTCTAGTGCAACAGCATTTACCATGACTTTCTGTTAATATTTCCTCCTTGTCAAGGGAAACGAAATGCTCTACGTAGCATTGTGGGGAACAGTCAGTGTGCAGTGCTCATAAGCACAGAAATAATAAAAAAGATGACATTCTTGCTTTCACACAGCTATAGTTGCAATGTGAGTTCTACATTTTTTGGCATCTTGCCATCAGTTTTATCCAGCAAAACCCCAAATGGATCATTTCCACCCTCCAATTCAATATTCTCAGCTAGAGTTGATTTTATACCCTGCCAAGGCCTTCTTTTATTTATTCCTCCCTGTACCTTTTTTCTTGGCAGTCTGCTTTTCAGGCCTCAAGTTTCCTTCTTTTCTTCTCAGAAAGCCGTCAGCTTTTTCTGTTGCCAGGCCCCATGCCTTGTTTGTTTGTCTTTGTACTAAGTTGTGGCTCCAACAAGATGGGCAGTTTTAGTGTGTATGCATGTGCATAATGCAGGTGTTCCCATGTGCATGTCCTATGTGCACACATGTGTGCACGTGCATGAATTATGTTCCTAATAACAAAGGATACCAGAACATTTAAGTGCACACATTTCCCCACACAGGCCAGCTTTTACTTACATAGTTCGAGGCCAGGTCCGGGTGGAGATAGTCAATTCCTATGAAAAAACAACAATAGCACAGGAAAGAAAGATTAATACCTGTCACTGTCCTCAGGAAAGCTACTCTAGAAAGATCCCTTTTTGTGTGTGCTGCCACTAGGAGACACTGAGCCTGAGGCCCCAGCCTTGTGTTTCACTTCCTGAGTGAGCATTGGTGGGCTGCACCGCCTAAGTGGAGAGACAGCTGTCACCAGATGCATCAGCAGAGTGAAGCCAATTAGAGCTTGGAGCCTCAGGATAACAATTCTGCCATAAATGTCAGCACAAAGGGGCTTAGTGTGTATAAGATAGATGGCTCATCAGGGTAGTGATCTAAGAGAGATTTGTGGAAATACTGACATTTCTAAAGCATCAACTGGCATTCTTCTGAAATGAAACTGGCCCAGGGGAAGGAAAGCAATTATTACTTAATAGGGACAGAAGTTGATTAGCAGAGGGTTCTCTGGCATAGACATAGTAAGAGTAACATGTCTGGGCAAGAAAAATGTCCCTATTATTTAATAGGGACAGAAGTTGATTAGCAGAGGGTTCTCTGGCATAGACATAGTAAGAGTAACATGTCTGGGCAACACCAAAGGGCAAGTGGTTGCCCACAAGGTGTCCCAAGTGGGAGCTGATGCTTGTGTTTTCAAAATGTGGCTTTTCAGGAAGCCTGAGACCTCCACTATCCCAGCAGGGGCTTGTGCTTGCTCTTGGACACAAACTACCTTGTTGCCCAATAGTCATTCCAATGGTAGAATTTTGGTCCTTGAGCTACTAGCCTCCATCAGACATGTGGGGCTCAGGAAGCACGCTGGTACTTCAAGGGCAAATTGAAAAGTTCCCCTCCAGGTCTGAGAGCCATATAATCATTGCAGTAGTTACATCTGAGCATCCAGCCCTGTAGGAAACTGTCCAGGTTCCTGCATCACCTAGCATAATTGTTGCAAGTGTAGGTTTTGGAATTCAAGATTTGAGTTTGAATTCCAGCCATATGACCAACTGGCTGCAGAATTTCAGGCAAAGTGCTTGGCCTCTCTGTGCTTGCTTTCTTCTTGACCTTCTGGAATTGTGAACAGTGTGGTGTGCTTGTCCCAGTGGTATTTAACAACTTTATTGGGTTGCAATATTCAAAAGTCAGAGTACTATTAAGTCTTTCATAGCTGTCATCCTCACTGAATGAATACTAAGACCAAGTTATAGTTTAACTGTTCTGCCAAAAAGCACATGCATCTGGATGTATACAGTTGACTCTTGAGCAGTGTGAAATTAGAGCAGCCAACCTCTTGAGCAGTTGAAAATTAGGATATAACTTAAGTTGATCCTCCACATGTGCAGATTCCTAACCACCGGTTGACCCTTGAAGAATGTGGGTTTGAACTGTGCTGACCAATAGAAAAACCTGTGTATGAGTGGACCCATGCAACCCAAACCATCATTCTTCAAGGGTCAACCATATTTCTAAAATTTTTTTCTTTTTTTTTTCCTAGTTGCACAAGTTAATTTCTGCAAACTATTTCCTGGACTGCAAGTCACTGTACTACAGAACATGGTTTATCTCACTGCTGATATTTTGACATCCAAAACCATTAATGTTATTACACCAATTTCTATAGCTTGGGATAGTATAGCTGCTCACTTCCTGTCCTCTACTCTCCTTCTCCTCCTCCCACTCCCCTCTCAAGGACTGCCAATGGACAGGGAGCAGAAGATTTAAAGACTAACATTTTATTTTATTTTATTCTTATTTTTAAAAATTATGTTATTGTTGTTTAATATAGTTGTCTGTATTTACCCTCCCTTCACACCCCCCAGCCATCCTCACTTCCCTCCCTTGCTTCCACTCCCTCTTGGTTTTGTCCATGTGTCCTTCAGAGTTGTTCCTGAAAATCCTTCCCTTCTTCCCCCCATTATCCCTTCCCACCTCCCTTCTTGTTTCTGTCAAATTGTTCTTAATTTCAATGTCTCTGGTCATATTTTGCTTGTTTGTTTGTTTTGTTGATTGGGTTCTACTTAAAGGTGAGATCATATGGTATTTGTCTTTCATTGCCTGGCTTATTTCACTCAGCATAATGCTCTCCAGTTCCATCCATGCTGACATGAAGTGTAGGAACTCCTTCTTTCCTTCTGCTGCGTAGTATTCCATTGTGTAAATGTACTATAGTTTTTTGATCCATTCATTTACTGATGGTCACTTAGGTTGCTTCTAGCACTTGGCTATTGTAAATTGTGCTGCTATGAACATTGGGGTGCACAGGTTCTTTTGGATTGGTGTTTCTGGATTCTTAGGGTATAATACCAGCAGTGGTATTGCTGGGTCAAAAGGCAGTTTCATTTTTAGTTTTTGAGGAAATTCCACATTGTTTCCCACAGTGGCTGCACCAGTGTGCATTCCCAGCAACAGTGCAGTAAAATTCCCTTTTCTCTAAAGCCTCTCCAACACTCATTGTTTATTGATTTGTTTATGATGGCTGTTCTCACTGGTGTGAAGTGGTATCTCATTGTGGTTTTAATTGGCATCTCTCTGATGGCTAGCGATGCTGAGCATCTTTTCATATGTCTCTGGATCCTCTGTATGTCCTTCTTGGAGAAGTGTCTATTCAAGCCTTTTGCCCATTTTTAATAGGGTTGTTTGAAAGACTAACATTTCAAAAGTCTGCAGACCTGTGTTCTGGACCCTAATTCAGAGATGGTTAGGTTAGGCTGTGGGTAAAGTTGGGGAAGAGCACAAACGATGAGATCAACAGATCTAGTTTCATTTCAGTCTCAGAAACTCTAATATTTGTGTGGCTTTGCCCAAATGATGTAATCTCTCTGAGCCTTGGGTTTTTCATCTTTGAGATGAAGATATTATTTACCTTGCAAAGCAATTTTCAAAATTAGAGCCAATTCATTGAAAGTGTTTAGCTTGTAGTAAGTAAACACTTGATAAATTATATTTCTATAATCATCATTAGTGCCATTATCTACCACATCACTAGAGTTATGTGGATAATTCTGAAGAGCAGACATTAAAAAAATCTACTTGGCTTTAGAATGTTGTGCTGAAATTAAATTATTGTATATATTTGCACACATTGGTTAAATTTTATGAACTCATTATTAGGCAAAAATTTTGTAACATACAGATAAGGTAACAGAAAAATCATGCACACACACGTATACACAGAGCATTTTCTTTCTAACAGAGAGTCAGTTTTTTTCTTTTTCACTGTGCGACCTGCTTCAGTGCCTGCAGTCTGTGAGCAGATTCCAGGCAATGGTTCTAGGCCACAGTTTGCTCTGGCATGGGGCACTATAAAACACTCAGGGTGGCAGTCCTACCATAAATTCAAATCTATATGTGGAGAGTCAATTTTTAAAATATAGCTCCATGTTCTGATAGTACGAGTTGTTTTAGAGAGGAATTCTCTGAGAAATAGTAGTCTCTTTTCTATGAAACGAAAATATTGAAACAAAGAGATAATTTGAGATGAAAAAGAAATTAGAATTAAAATTAGATAAATTCAGCCTAATTAAACATCTTTAATTAGGTTAAGGGGAAGACTAAGTATTAAGTTAGAACAGAGATAGACTTTGGTCTGAGAAAGAAAAGATTATTTATAGAATTGTGAAGGATGACAGACACAATTCAGAAAAATAATACCATTCTTCAGCACACCAAAAAAGAAAAATAATAATAAAATAGAGCAAGAAAATGATAACCTGAAAATGAAACAGTATTTTAATAGTTTTGCATGTTTGATTACCTTTTTAGGGGGACTATATTGAATATGTCTATTAAATCAGCTTGTTTTTAATTGTTCTATTAGTAATACATTCACTTTTATTTTTTATGTATTTGTTTATTTTCAGCAATGAATGATAGGCACTATGTAGGTCCTGGAAAAACAAACAATTTGGACACTCAACCTGAGCTGTTGAAATTAATATAACATTATATGTCAATAATACTTTAAAAAATAAAATGGGCTATCCTCAAATTGAACTTTGTACATGCAGACAATAGAATATTTACCAAGTTGGCCAAAATATAAAAAGGCAATGCTTTAAAAATATTATATTACTTTGCTCTTAGGTGTCAAGGTCAGCATCTGTGTCTGCTTCGAATCTCATTTTGTATTGATATCTTGCTTAGGGTATATCTGGGAAATGATGCCATTCCATTAACATGTCCAGACAGTTGAGAGAGAAAATACAGCTCTGATGTCCCCAGCTCATCCTCACTGCTTCCCATTTCTGGATGCTGGTGCAGAGATGCCAAACTGAGAGGCATGGTGAGAGGCTGCTGAGCATCTGGACTTGTCCTTATTGCATGGGAGGCCACACATGCCTAAATGTGTTCATTTTGCTCTTAACCAGTGGTTTGGAGAATGACTTAACAGTCTTTTTTTCCTCAGTTGTCACACTGAATTAGATTGATACAAATCTTTTTCTCTCTCTGTACCAGGAGTCAGAAATTCCTCTGAAATTTGGCTCTGAGACTGTTGATCTAACAGATGTGGCAGAGTGACACCTGCCTATTTCAGGCACAGACTTTACAAAGATTGGCAGCTTCTGCCTTTTAGAATCCCTGTTCTTGGGGTCCCTGTGCCATTTGTAAAAAAAAGTCCAGCTACATTGCTGGGGAGACCATCAGGAGTGGAGGGTGCCCTAGGACTGCATGGAGTGGGGAGGGATCCTCCAGTTGAATCTAGTCCCAGCTTTCTGCTGACTCCAACTGCACTACAGACCCCAGAAAGGCCAGCAGCAGAATTGTCCAGCTGAGCCATCAATGCACAGAACTCTGAGAGATAACAATATGGTGGCTTTTTAAAGCCACTTAATTTTGGGGTGGTTTGTTCTACATCAGTAGATGACTAAAATAATGGAGAAATTAAGAGTTTTAATTGGAAGGCAGAGAATTTGCTTTTTTTTGGAATCCCAAAGGCCACTAATAAGCAGAAGACATAACATCAAACATATTCTGCCAAAACTTTCTGAAGGGCTTGGCCTCTCATGCCAGGAAACATGGAGCAGAGTCAGGAGTCATCTTTGCTTTCTTCAGAAAGGATGATGGACACTCAGACAAGGGGACTACAATGAAAGAGTCCTGAAACAGGCATCACAGGACTGTTGGAGGTTTATACGAGCAGTGTGCCTGTCTGTTGTCATTTATAGTGAGACTTTTAGGGTGATTTTCTAATACCTAGCAGGGAGTACACAGTAGATATGCTGTGCAAAATGATCATTACTATATGCCCTAGGCAGGTTTCCCCCAGACCTACATGCATCTTTTTCCTGGGTGAGCTAGCCTCAGCCATTTTGGTTTCTAAACCAAAACATTAGGAAGGAAGAGATTATTATAAGCTCCTGACAAGGTGCACACAGACTATTGCGCAGAGCTCCTTTTTCCTTGTGAAAGTCCTTGGCCACTGGAGGAAGCTTTTACATCCACTTCAAAACGTTGAACACACTAGAAAACAGCGAGGCATTGTTTTTATGTTGCTATTTAATGAGCCCACACAAAGAGAGCAGCAATTTTAATCACTCTGCCTCCCCTTGTTTTCCCATCAATTCTGCTTCAAAGGCTTGCTTTAGAGAACATAGTGTTCTTTGAGAATCTTCAGAAGGGATAACATGTTGTAGGGGGCATGCGTCATAAAATGTTATCAAAGTCTGCTTTATGAGGGTCATTCTGAAAGTAACAATAAAGTCAAAATTCTCCAAACCCCCATCCTGCTGCCTAAAAGCTATTTCATGGATCTAGAGCCACACTGTCTAATAGAAATTTCTGTGATAACAAAATGAAGTTGGCTTGAATTTCAGCAGCTGTTAGACTCATATAGCTATTGAGAATTTGAAATGAAGCAAGGAATTAAATTTTAAATTTTATTTAGCTTTAATTAATTAAAATTTAAATGTAGATAGCCATGTATGGCCATTGACTACTACACTGGACAGTGTGAATTTAGAAAAATGGATGGTAAATATAAAGAAGTTTAGAAGATATTTTAAGGTAAGATATAAGCAGTGGCTTAATAATGTTGAGTGACAATCAGGTTTCATTTGTTTATTTTTTAAGTTTTTTTGAATTTGTCAATGCATTATTTATCTGTTAAGGGTATTCTCAAATTCGAGAACCATGGATTTGGAGGAAGGTGAGAGTTTGGCCACAGTACAGATGGTCAGCCCCAGCACCTGGCTATTCTGCCTTCAAAACGGTGATTCTTTCCTATTCTGAAGGTGTGCAAAGACACACTTGCTTCCAAATGATGTAAAGGCATTGAAATACTCACCATCATCCATAATTCCAATGGTAACACCTTTTCCTGTGTATCCCAGCTCCCAGGCTTCTGCCACATTCAAATCAAGGCCAGGAGTGCCATCAGCTTGTCCAGTATTGATCTGGTACAGGAAATCCAAAGCACAGAATCTTATTAATTTGGTGTAGTAAAGCACCTGTGTAAACGTTTGCTTGGTCTGCTCTGTGGGCATCTGATATTCCAGGGCCAGCTCAAAGGCTACATTCTCCGTGAAGTAGAATTTTTATTTCCCAATCCACCTCTTCTAGCACTCTCCCTCAAGTTTTTGAAATACAAAATTGATGTTTTATAATTTTTATGAGTTTGCAAACACAGTTTCAAACTTCCCATCTTCTATGATCAGACTGTTATCTTTAATATCCTTAGAGCTGCCATCGCAAGAAACCTTTCCCAATTTAGAATTAAGTGCTCACTCACTTATACCTCATGTTTTTAATTTAGCACATACTGTTTTGGATTATTCTTAGTTAATATGATTTCCTTACTACATACAATATCCTTTGCAAGAGGGAGATGTTCTATTTATGTTTGTGATTTCAATACTACAATACCAGTTGCTTAAAAATATTTGTTAAACTGAATTAAAGATAGCTGACTCAACTTTAGTGCATATTCTGATGACATATATAGGTATATATTATTAGAATATATGAGTATATATTAGCATATTCTAACACTATGTATTTATTATCTCTATATAACAAATACTCCTCCTTAAAAACTCCAAAGGTGAAATGAAGGAAAACAAAGAGAAAATCCCAAATCAATGTGCCCACTATCCTTTTTTTCATACATCTTTGTTCTGTGCAGCATTTTCTCAAATACGAATCATAAAAAATAGTGACACCAGAGTTTGTACTGGCAAAAGCCCACAGTGATCAATTGGCAATTACGGAATTGCTAAAACATTATGTGAATGTCATTAGTTTTCTTCATAAAAATGGCCACTCTTGCCCTGGCTGGATGGCTCAGTTGGTTGGAGTTTCATCCCATACACCAAAAGGTTGTGGTTTTGATTCCCAGTCAGGGCCCATACCTAGATTGTGGGTTTGATTCCCTGTCAGGGTGAGGCAACCAATCACTCTTTCTTTCTCATATCGATGTTTCTCTTTCCCTCTCTCTCTCCCTTCCTCCCTCTCTAAAAATAGATAAAAACATACCCTTGGTTGTAGATGAAAAAAAGAAAAAGGCCACTCTTTTTCTTCTAGGCTTATGTTAAGCTTACACCTCTTATTTCCCTTGGAAGTGAGAAGGACCGTGTGACTGATTTTGGGCAATGGAATATGAGCTCATGTGTCATTTGTCACATCTACACAGAAGCTTTAGGAGCTAGTGTGCAATTTACCCCTTCCCTTCCTTGATGTGCTCACGAAACCAGTATCAAGATGGAGTAGCAGTTGAGCTTGATCAGCCTGAGTTCCTGAGGGATTATAAAACAGTGGATGTATAAAATGAGGGAGAAACTTTGATTTTGTTAAGCCACTGTGAGTTGAGTGTTGTTATTGGAAGAAAACTAGCATGTCCTCGGCAATACAATCATCCCTCTGAGGATGATTGTATTGAGGATGATTGATACCAAAATCCATGGATGTTCAAGTCCCTTATATAAAATGGTGTAGTACTCACATATAACTAATGTTTTGCATGTAGGTTACAGCAAGATATGCCTAAAAACAATTTCATTTGTGTGGATTCAGCATAGTGCTCTGCATGTGGCAAATTTAAGTTTTATAGTAAAGTCCCATTGAACTGACTTCCTGCTATTATTTTAGGAAACACTGATAGATGCTACTTTTCTTACTTTAGTCTTTGAGGTCTCTTGCTTATCTTTTGTGAAGTCATCTGAATCTTTCCCTTATGCCTGTGGTTTCACCATATCCTGCCATTGCTCTGTCTGTTGAGACCCCAGATAACTCTTCCCAGACCTTTGACTTGACTTTTACATGTTTTTGCAAGTCTTCACTCATACACCAGTGCCCTTTTTAAGAATCTGGAAGAATCTTATCTGCTTTTGGTAGTTGCTTTGACCCTAGAAGACCCTGGCTACTTAGCAGTTCAGAAGAAAGCAGATTAGAGAATGAGATGCTTGGGTGGTGACAGAAAATCAATATGTATCAGAGGGGACAGAGCAGTTCCCTGAGTTGGATACTGGCTGCTATCCAAAAAAATTATTAGGAAATATAAATGCATCTTTTACTTGAAGTCTCAAAATGAGAAACATTAGGAATAATATAGAGACACTTACCAAATACCACTGCTTTGTAAATAGAGGATCATTCATGTTGATGTCGATCTCATTGATATCTCTATACCCTCGCTTTTTTCGGTGGAATCCTTCTTGTTGCAAGGCCATCTTTACCTGGAATGACAATACTGACACATTACCTGAATATCCACCTGAACATCTCTCTTTTGAAATTTGTTTCTATGAATTCAAGTTCCATTTGTATATAAGATGTTTTTTTTTTCCTTAGCTGAAGCCAGGCTCCTCTCATGTACACTTTATGATTATTTTCTAAGAGCATTTACTTCTTGCAGTGAGCAAACAGGCTTGGTGATGGATCTAAGTGAGTTTCCTTAAAATAAGAATTAGATGAGGAAAAGCACTCTCAAGGAAGATAAGTGGCAGGGTCATTAAGTAAAATAAAACAAAGCAAGAGAACATTTCTCTGAAGAAAAAGAGAGTGATATGGATTCAGGGAGGAAAAAAGTGAAACCTTATGGATCATTTTTCTGGAAGGGTTCCCAGCCTTTCCATTTGTTAACAGTACTGTGCTATCATATTTGGGAATCCACCAAAACAAAACCAACCAACCAAAAAACCTGTATGGAAAGCCACTAAGTCCATAGCAAAGCTCTAGGAGGTAACTGAGGGATCTTTGAAACTGATGGATAGTGCTGCTGTCCTTGCAGTAACACTTCATTCTGGATAGTAAAATAGAACCCTAAGTCCATGGGTGGAAAGAAAACTTAGGAGCTGAATTAATTCAATCAGGCTCCTGGCAAAAGCTAGGCTATGTCTCAATCAGAAGACTTTCACTTGGGCAAAAATGAATTTATCATCCAATAGTTGTGGTCAGTCTCTGAAGTCTACAAACTCAGGGCTATGAAAATGTATAAAAAATGTGTGCTGAATACTTATTAATTTTTAAAATTATATGTTGCTGCCCAGTATCTATTTCTTCTTTTCCCAAATCTTCCCACTATATCTGGAGCATTACTTTGAGTCCACTGGGTTCTGTGTTAGTAGGAGTGAAATTTGAGTCACCTGCCTTGCTGTAAAGTAGGAATGTTGAACTAATTTTCACCAGGGGCCACATTAGCCTCGCGGTTGCCTTCAAAGGGACAAATGTAATTTTAGGATTGTATGAATGTAACTACTCCCTAACAGGTAAGTGAGAGCTCGGTGCAGTCGCTGGGTAGAAACAGGGTGCCAGGATGGATAAAACAAGGTGGAGGGCCTGATTTGGCTTTTGGGCCTTGTGTTTGCTACCTGTGCTATAAATAAACTGAAGGCTCCCTCTGCCTCAAAGGTGCCTCAATGAGTATTTCTCTTCTAGGATCTGAATCCTATAGGCCAAACCTGGGGATGTCTCAAGGCTAATCCTTCAGCCCCTCATAGATTGTGAGTTCCCTATACATTTCCAACAAATTCTCTTTTGCTTAAGTGATATAGAATCAATTCCTGTTGCTTGCAATCAAGAACTTTGATATGAGACTAGAGAATCCAAGTCAAGAGTTGTGATGGGTAGGAAAGAATGAAGAGATTACTGATGTGGCCAACACCCTTCCCTTCCCTTCCTACTTCCCTAGATGTGGAAGAACACAGTGGGAGGGTAGTTTCTCATTTATTGTTTACACACTCACATAGAAGACCTGGGGCTCATTTACCAGAAAAACTCTAAACTCTATGCAAAATGCAATACATGTAGAAAAGAAGTGGTAAGTGTGGCACTAGCTCTATGAGTTCTTTGGAGGTATTCCAGCAATGAACATTCACTGTGGCATGATTTAAAAAAAGTTACCCAAAGAAGTAGCAAAAGTACTTAAAATGGGATAAATGGATATTTTTTTTATAATAGGAAAGTCTGGATACAATTAGTGTCCACTTAATGGAGATGAATTATTATTTAAATATGCATATATGTACCTATATGAATGTGTGTGTGTATTTGTATTATGTGAATGTTATATATGTCTCTGAGAAGCAAATGCTAAGATTAGATTAAACATGCAAGGAGTTTATTAGGAGAAAAAAGGCAAAAAACTGTGTTGCAAGTCTGGCCCCATAAAAGAGAGAATATACAATGTTGGGCAAGTCTCCTTGACTGCCCCATAATTTAAAGAAGGTTTGGCAAGGCTGTTGGGGATCCAAGGTCAGTGATGAGAGGACCCCTGTGTGTTCCAGGGGTGGGCATGCTTCAGCACTTCTGCCAAGCTCAGTCACTGGCTGGAGCAGCTGTGGCCATCATGGCCTGTTGCCAACATGGTGATAGATTTCAGAGTGCAGCAGCTGTGGTCTCAGGTCAATTACTCTGTCTGGAGTCAGAGGTTTATGCAGCATATTCTCACAACTTCCACAGAATATATACATACATTTATATATGTGTCTCTCTGTGTGTGTATTCATTAGTGTAGAACATTTAAAATGTTCAAGTCAATGTAGTTTTCAATCTGGAAAGAACCAGATGCACCCCTCTTAAAATCTCCCTTTTCTTTATTGTGAAAGGAAATATAATAGTTCCCTCCTATCCACATTCCAATTTCCCCAGTGGATGCTTAAAACTGCAGATTGTACTATGTTTTTTCCTATATGCACATGCCTTTTCATTTTTTAAATAAAAGCTCATTACAGCTTCTCTTTGGCATGTCTGAATTACCAGCATCACTTGTGTTTGGGGGCAGGGAAAACAGGAGTTATTTGAACACAACTACAGTGATAACACCACAGTTGATCTGATAACTGAGAAGGCTAATGACTAAGGAGGGGGTAAGGGAGAGCATATATGGTGTTGAGATGCTGGACAAAGGGGTGATTCACATATTGGGCAGGTTGAAGCAGGATGGTATGAGATCTCAATAATCTACTCAGAAAAGAGCTCAATTTAAAACTTCTGAACTGAAGTATTGGATTGTCTTCAAATGAAACCAAGAAAACCAAGAAAATTATTGGCTTTAATATTTTTTAACTTTTTGATTGTTGTTCAAGTACAGTTGTCTTCATTTCCTCCCACCCAGCCATCACAACTTCCCACCTTTGATCCTACCCCACTTTGGTTTTGTCCATGTGTCCTTTATAGTTATTCCTGAAAACCCTTCCCTCTTTCCCCCCATTATACCCTTCTTCCTTCCCTCTGGTTACTCCCAGTTTGTTCTTAATTTCAATGTCTCTGGTTATATTTTGCTTGCTTGTTTGTTTTGTTGATTAGGTTCCACTTACAGGTGAGATCATGTGGCATTTGCCTTTCTTAAAATGGCTTTAACATTATAATTCAGAAGATAGCAAGATGGTGGAGTGAGTGGAAGACACACCGACCTCCTCCTAGAGCCAATCTGGAATTACAATTAAATTGTGGAGAAATTACCCAGAAGAAACAAATGAACAATAACGAGAAAGAAGGCTTATAATCTTGGACAGACAGAAGAACCAGCTTCTACACAACCTGTCTGGTAAGGAGTGCAGTGGAGACTTGAGGGGACTGTCTGGGCACCCACAGATGGCAGCACCAGAGGGATAATTAAGCAGCAGTCTTTATCCCCCTGAGAAGAATGGGGTCTAAACTGTAAGCTGGGGTCCTCAGCCTACAACACTAGAACCCCAAAAGTACACAGATGACAACCGGCTGTGAAAAGCAGCAGGGTTGCTCTCTGCCAGAGATGGATGGCTAGAGATGCAAAGAGCCATTTAAAGGGCCAGTGCACAAATTTTCATTTGCTGTCACTTACCTGGGCTTCCAGCAAAGGCAGGAGGAGAGTGGACTGGAGATGCCTGAGAAGAGGCTGGGGACAGAAGCTTTGGAGAGAGGGCTGAGAGAGTAGCCTCAGGAAGCCCAGTGTTGAGTCATCCCCCAAATGGAAGCAGCTGCCATTTTCAGGCAGACCACTTCCCTCCGAGTGGCAGCAGCCTGACAGCCTCACACCCAAGAGAAACTCTCCCCAGGCTCTGTGGTGCTTAAGCCTGACTCCTGAGTGCAGAGTGTCTAGACTAATAACTAAAGGAGACAGCCACAGATGTAGATCCCTTGCAAAAAGTGGGGGTATAGTGGACTAGAGATGCTTGAGGTGAGACTGGGGATGGAGGCTTGGGGAAGAGAACTGAGAGAGCAGCTGCTGGGATCCCAGTGCTGAGTTGTTACCCATACTGCAACAGCCATCCTGCTCAGGCAGACCACTCCCCTATGAGCAGGAGCAACCTGAGGGGAAACAATAGCCCCAACCCCAGGAGGAATTCTGCCCCACCCTATGGGTCTTAGCCTAACTGCTGAGTACAAAGTGACTAACAATTGAAGAAGACAACTACATATCTCTGAAGAAGACAACTATAGATCTCTGGCAGTCTCAGAGCAGGCTGCCTAAAGTCAGATGGGGTCAATGTTTGACACCACCAGAGGAGGATCCAGGAAGAAAAAAAAAAAACAGTAGAGGCTACCCAGACAAAATCCACTGTGGTCTTCTCCTTTATTAGTGATATCTTCTTTCCTATATAGCTTTTTAATAGTCATTTCTTGTCCAACAAGTTTGTACATATCAAGTCACCAGAATTTATACTATAGTTTACTTCTCTCCTTTCTTATAATAGTCTTAATCTCTTTACACTCTTATTAATACTGGTTCATTTGACATTGATACTGAGATTGTGAGGGGGGGAGATATTTTTGAAGGTGTGAATTTATTCCCTGGGTTTGGTGGTTTTCTTCTGGCAGCATATGCAAAACGGAATACAAGACATGGCGGGCAGAGTGACACTCAGTCAACCAGCTGGAGGGAAGGACCCACCAAAGAATGACACAACAATCAAAACCCAATTACATCCAGAGAGCTAACATAAATGACATCTCAAGAGCAGCAAATTCAGGAGGTCAGGGGACTGTGCCATTGAATCTCACAGGTCTCCTACCATAGAAGTGCACACCACAAACTCAGGGAGTCAGAACAGATCAATTTAAGAAGCAGAAGCTAACAAGAAGAGTCTCACAAACAATGGGTAGACAAACAAACAAACCCCAAATGAAAGGAAGAAGCCTCAGAAAGAATGTAAATGAAATAGAGGCAAGTCAACTACCAGATAGTGAGTTTAAAGCAATGGTTATAGGGAAGCTCAATGAGATCACAGAGAATTAACAAAAATTATAGGGAACC